AAATACGTCGCCGCTGAACAGTTCTTAAGCGACGTACAAAAGTGAGCACACATTTAACTAACATCGGAACAGTAAAAATGGTCATGAAAGAGATACATTTCTGAAGGATCAAAAATCCGGCCTCATCACTGACATGTACTTCTATTGCACTAGAATTTCCTTTCGCTGTTCAATTATTTGATACCACTAATCGAACAGTCGTTAGCGGAAGGAGAGTGGAAAGGAGAGAGAAGTAGAGAAGGAGGGGAAGAGAGATGTAAGGGGAAGGGGGAAGGAAAAAAAGCAGTGTAAAAAACTTTTTCCGCTTAATGTAACCAGCAAAGGTAGTACAATTACATTACATATCTGTAACGCGGCACAGTAATGTACCTCTTAGTCAGTACAGTGTATTCAGAGTAAGGGAACTGAAAATACTTATATTCCTAACTATTCAGCCGCTAACTGGTAAGAATAATTTTCTTCTGTTAATTGGACTTATGTTTCTAACTATTCAACCGCTAATTGGTCAGGATAATTTTCTTGCGTTAATTAGAACTTTTGCTTTCGTTTTTCTTTTCAAAATAATTGTCATTATCTTTTGCAACCAATTTTCAGACTCGTTTTAATCTATAAAGTCTTCAGTTCTTGATAAAGGATGTAAAAATACAATACCAAATTAGATAAAAAAAAAGTTTATCTTTTCTGAGACGCAGTTACCTCACCAGCTTGTTTGTCCATCAAAAAATACTGCCAGAAAAACGAAATAAAAAGGAAACTTAATTTTCTTTTCCGATCCTCTTTTTTCAAGTGATGTTCATACTTTTGTTATTACGATGACTGGTCATCATGTTTCCAAAAATATATTAAATGAATGCAGTTGGTGCTTAAACGTTATTAAATATGTACAGTCGATTCACGTACATTAAAAACACCTATTCATAATAACCATTACCGCTTTCTCGGCTCCCTTTTTTTTTCTTCCCCCCCCCCCCTCTCCTTTCTTTTGAAATTCAAAAAAAAATTTTTCTTTCTCCTGAAAAAGAATTTAGTTTAAAGCAAAAAATAGAATCAACCAATCAAATGTATCCTTCTACTGTTGCCTTTTTTACCCGCAATTATGAAATAATAACTGTGGCATGATAATACTGGGGGAGAAACCTATGGCTCTCAAAAACTGTTATTCGCTATTGAAATCAGACCTATTTGTTAAAAACGAACTGTTTCGTATAAATTCCCCTTTTTCTTCTCTACGACTATGATAACAATACTGCTTCTTCCTTCGTTTGAATGCTTTTGTTTGTTGTCACTTCTCCTTAAAAACATTTTCTATTATCTACAGATTCCCTTCAAATTTCCACACAACAGGGTCACAAAAACCGTTAACTACCGCTATTCCCCAGGTGAATATTACTGTTATATCCAGCATTAACGAAGCTTCGCACGGGAAACTAAAGAAATGTTTTTGACTCACAGTACTAATGAATGAAGTGAGGATAAAATCGAAAACCCGCCATGATTCGTCCACAGAAATAATACTGTCATAAGCTACAATGACCTAGTAACAATTCTTAAGAACCAAAAAGTTATTGAAAATCTCTCAGCGCCCTTACCGTCCACGAAAACCAAAGAAACTAAAAAATTTTCGTCATATTTCATGGTTGTTTTTTATGCTGAATGACCTGAAAGCGGCTAATTTCAACGCAACGATAACAATTAAAGCACAGTACATTTCCAGCTATCAACTGTTTGGGAAGAACATTATTTGCGCGAACCTATATTATATGACTTTCAGAATAACTTTCCAAAAATTTTCCACCAAAACAAAAATCTTCTCAACAATTTTTACCAACAAAAAAATCTTTTCAAAAAACCTTTACTTTTTATCTATGTGTGTGCGGAAGTTTATAGCGTCAGATGTTCCAAACAACCAAGTTGAAAAATTGCTAAATATATAATTCTGTCGCAATTCTATCATAAAATTTCCATACTCTTTTAAATTGAAGTCATAAAGCTGAATATTTTGATCGTTAAATGTCTGTAACAGTGATACAAAGCTTGTAAACAACTGTCACTGACTTTTTTTAATAATATCTCGTATATCAAATAAAATCTTAAAACTTACACTTCTCACCCATGTTTTATCATTGTTTATGTAGACCCTCCTGTCGCCTCCTCTATTTCAAGCTCCTACTCCAAATACAATATATAATCTCATTCAAGATCAAAGAAATAATAAAAGAACTATGACATGTCAGAAGTGAGAATATTACTATAATAATTCACCGTACATAATTACACACTCTTCTTACCAAGTTATTTTTAATGTTTAAACATCAAAGGATCAAAAGCGCAAATGGAACCAAACCTTACTTTTTTAACAGCGTAGCTTACACCGCACTTTTTCTTATCATCAATTTTTATATCATAACAAATAATATGACTCAAAGCATCACTTTATTTCTTTGCCAAGTTAAAAGTTTCTTCCAGAATAAAAGATTTTACAGAACCTAGGGTAACGCGATAAAGCTGCTTCTCTTAACTCTTCTAACTCTCTTCCCGTACTTGACTACTGACCTACTACTGTCCTTGACTACTATTCTTCAGGGATAACACTTCCAGATTTCTACCAAGCATTTAAAAATTACTTGCTGAAAGTTACCTGATTACACAGATTTTGATATTTCTCTTACCATTTCATAAAAAACGTACAAAAAAAGTGCCTTTAGATGTCTAAAGACAACTGGCAAAAACAAGTTTAACTGCTACTAAAAGTGCTTTTTAACGTGAAATGATGCAGTTGAGGCGGTTTTGTGATCAAAGCAGAACATATAAAAAGGTCCCAAGTTAGCAGAAACAAAATGTTTCTACAAAGTTAGGTAATCCTGCAAATACTACTGTAAAACTGCAGCATTTTACCTAAAAAAGTGTGGTTTGAAAAAAAATTTCTTGTTCGTTAATATTAAAAACCAAATTCCTGCAAAACCTTCAAAAAACTTGATACTTTCGCTGCGTTATTTCAACTTAATCTTTATAAAACTTCTGCTGGCTAAGGTAAAGTCTCCAGACACTCAAATTAATTTTTTCCTTTCCAAACTACAAAGAGTCAGTTAGAAATACCTTTTACTTCGGCGAATTTTGAACTCTGTTCGTTTCGATACGAATGGAGGCGAAAGAGTAGATGACTAGAAAAGAAAAATGATAATAGCAACAGATGTAGTTTCTGTTGTCGGTTATAGAAGCTGTTAACTACTGCTTATATCTCGTGATCAAACACCATTACGATAGCTCACAGCTCGATTTACCTAAATGTCTGGTTAACTCCCTATAATAGTCACGTCTAGTTGAGCAGGACAAAATTGCCCAAGTTTCAAAAAAGTTTTTCTCTTATTCCTCTAACTCAGGGGAGAAATCGTGCAAAGTCCTTCGCTTTTTACTCCTACTTTAGAGCGTCCACAGGATCAACAATTCTACTACAAAAAAAAAAAACCATTTTTTTAAACTTTTCATTTCCCTCTCACAGCAAAAGCTGGTCAAGTTGATAACCATTAAAACACCGTTTTGACTTTACTCGTTCCCAAAACTAGCAGAAAATAACCCTGGTTCTACACTCAGGCGTGCCAATCCCACTTGCGCTGTTTTTTTTCTTTTCATTAACCTATCCTTACTTTTTCTCAGATCTTCTGCACTAGTTTCAAACTTGTCTTTTCACCTCTTATTGAATTTCTAACGGTCTAGTGCTGTATTATGACATTTAATAACACCGATCTCTCTGTGGAGCATGGAAAGAAGAACGGTGACTAAATCTCGTAATCGTAACCCTAGAGACCGGATCATGCAACCTTTCTACTCATAGTTTCTTCGATAATTTCAGAATCTATTCAAAACGTCACTGTAATACTAACAGCGCTTTAGCTGCGCACATAGAAGTTGTTTCACTTTAGAATATGTGCAAAGAAGCTGGTGCAAAAGATTTTTCAAAATACATACTTGTATAGGTCATATTCCAAGAAGACTTTTGTTGTTTTACCTATGACTGTCTATTGCTTTTTCATTCGAGCCCACAGAACTGAGGTAATCAACAGTTGTAAAAATCAAACGCCCACAAAAATTTCAAAACCGTTTTCGGACAAAGATTTTCGTTCGTTGTATTCTCTAAAATATTTGCATTATCAAAGCTTCCAAACTATAAACACCGCTACAACAGCTGAAGTAATTTCAGAAGACCAACGAGTAGCCCCTGAAGAAGACCAAACCCAATGACCCCAAACAGTTGAAAAAAACAGTGATTACCCATCTCCGCCCATACAGCTAACTTTATGAAAGGCCATAAGGATTAAAAGGAAATTCAAGTACTAGACAACCAAAAAAGTTTTACAGACAAGTTTGAAATCATCATAGATGGATCAGACACTCTGAAAATCCCCTGAAGGGAAGAAATTGAAGCCAACCAATGGTCAAAAAAATGTTTAGGAAAAGGACGACTGAGCGCATCAACCAAAAACATTAAATCAACTAATAAAAGAAAAAAAGCATCAGTAATGAAAGTTTTAGAAAAAAACAAGCATAAGTTGAATAATTTAGGCGGAAGTTAATGCACCAGTTGTCTGTCAGCGAACATCAAACTGTATCTGTCGGCGGTGCCACAACGCTGACAGTTTCAGGCGATAGGCAGTCACTGCGCAGACAAACAGACACAAACACCGATTTAAAATGACGTGCAGCATACCTGAAGCAAAAAAGCTAAATTCAAATTGAGAGTCCCATAACGAATACTGTTGGCAACGTTGCATAACAAACGTCTGATTGCGTATATACATTCAGTGTGCTGGACAACCCCCCTCAAATACTCGTCGAGATTTCTTGTTCAACGCATCCAATGAAGCCGTCTGGTTTGTAGCCGACGGTTTACCCAAGTTCTGCAGTTGTTCTTGCCATTTGCCGTCGTTTCAGTTGTTGTCACCAGTTGCCAACTGCATACCTCATATAACATTGCGCATATCTGTTATGCAATAATATTTTTATTTCATCTTCTATTTCAACAACTTTAACAGCTGCTTTTTGTAGCCAGTTAACAGTTTGCATTTTTTACTTTAGTGTTGTCGAATTGTTCTTTACTTATAGCTGTTGCCGTTCTTCTTATTTTGCTTTTAATTGTTGTATTGGACAGCTCTTTTTTTTTTTTTTTAAAACTATTTCTGTCGTTTATTTTGTTTGTTTTTTCTCTCTCCTGGACCAAATAGTTCATCAAAAAATTTTTTCTTCTTTTGCTCTGATTAATTTTAAATCTGTTTTTTCACTTATTTTTTTCGTATTGTTTTGAAATGTTAGAAGGAAATTCCTAATTTGTAACTCACTTTTGAATCTCAGCTTATGAAGGTTGTTCCTATGGAACAGAATTAAAAATGTTGAAAATAACGTTGGAGTTTTTGAAAGTTTGTCCACCTCTACATTACAATTTATCTATTTATTGGAAGTAAATACGATGAAGAAATGACGTTATCTTATCGCAAATCGCACATAACTTTTCTCTGGTTTTTCGATGTTAATCTCTTTTTTTTTTTTTGATTTCTTTTTTTAAATGTCCAATTTAAGCAACATTTTAGTATTCAAATTTGGACAATGAAACTTTGGCGCTTAGCGTTGCCACTAATTTTATGCCTGATTCTTGGAGTTGTTGGCGAAGAGGATTCGACTGCTAATAATTTGAAAGCGGTTGGACATACACCTTTTGCTGTTCTTTTTATAATTTTACGTTACTGCTTATGTAGGTTTTAAAAAAAGCTTTTTAATGCTGTGCAGTTTTTGTGACTGTATTATTCGCTTGAACAATGCAGAAAGTCAAATCTGCCTATTTCTGTTTCATTAAATGGGTTCTTTGCTTTTTAAATGCATATTTTACTGCCTCTTTTTCTTACTTTTAGCTGTATAGTCAAAATTTTTAGAGTTACGTGGCGCCAAAGTTTGTTACCCCGTCTGTAAGGGGATCTCCTCTACTAGTCGATTGGTTCGGTGATAAAGGGGCTATTGGAAAAAAATGGATTAAATCCAGTGGGAAAAAAAATGATGTTGAAGATTCTATTGCTAAGTATAACGGTATATTAGATGTTCTGCTGTTTTTTCCCTCAGTCATGTTTTATTTTATAAACTACGATAACTGGTCGTAAAATTCAAGCAATAGTATTTTTTTTACAGAGCTTTCAAATTTACAGCTATTCGTTTAGACCCCTTGAACGTCCCTGAACAATCTCACTATCTTTAGGCGAATGGGAAATAGAAGAGCCAACACAGAAGATTATTGAGGGGGATATGGGGTTAATAGTGAAAACTAAAGCTCGCCATCACGCGATCGCAGCGAAGCTTAGCCGTCCGTTTCAGTTTGATGGGCCGCCTCTGATAGTTCAGTAAGTGTATGCCCTTAATATTAATAGGTCCCTCATTTAATTCTTTTAGGTATGAAGTCAAATATGAAGATGGTCAAGAATGCGGTGGAGGCTATTTGAAATTACTAACTGTAGGTGCAGAAAATAACATAAAGGAATTTACGGACAAAACTCCATATACTATCATGTTCGGTCCTGACAAATGTGGCCAAACTGCTAAAGTGCATTTTATAATTCGTTTCAAGAATCCAAAGAATGGAGTTATCACAGTA